CCCCCCCCCCACCAAAGAGGCCAAATATTGTCTTTTTTGACATTCTATCCTCTACACCCCCTATAAAAGTACATTCTGAAAAAAGTTTCTCCAAAACCTCTAAACCATTCAATCAAAACTTTAAAAAGCTCCTCCGGTCGCTTACTATTCAAAAGCACATGTTCTGCAGTCTCTTTTTTACCACAAAACTCACACTCCCGTCTTACTGCTGGATTAAGTTGAGACACATACTGTATCTGTTTGTAGCTATCACCCTGTGAATAAGCCTCCACTGCAAATCTCCAGTTCTCCAGTCTCCAAATCACCAGTCTCTAGTACTTTCACACGGCAAAGTTTCTAAACGGACCAAATTTGTTAATACAAGTCATGCACGAGTAAACTGTTGTCCCATTGGTCAGAGTTCCATGGTTTATTTTCCGGGATTCCACTTAGCTGTCACGGCTGTCATCCGTCAGGATGGGTCGACAACCGTTTTTTTTTTTTTTGTAGCTGTCCTTATATTAATTTATCATTTTGAGCAGGAGTCCAGGATTCATCGGGAAAACATTTTTAAAATGCACCTACTAGGAAGAAGAGCAATAAGACGGCATTATAAAATGAAAAAGTGCGCTTTTTTATTTTGAATGGTGGAGACGTGCTCACCCACAGACATTCACAGGTTAATTTTGAAGTATTAGCAAAATAACAGAGCTAATGCTTTTCACTGAACTTAGCCGCGATCTCGGACCGATTGTTTTGGCGTGGATCCGGGTGCGATTGCAGTGTTCACATATGCCCAAACGAACCGAGCTAAGGGGGGAAATGCAGCAGGTTCCGAAACAACGAGCCAGGTGTGAAAGCACCCTTATACAGGGACCTGCACTGATCGCTCAAGGGGAAGTTTGGCGCAAACCATCTTGTCCACTTCAATGGCTGCCATTCCTTCAGTGCCTCTTTGTGAACAGTCTAACACAAAAGTTATATAAAACCTTTTTAGACATTTCATCAATTGTCCATTTCTCAAAAGTTTCAAAACTCTCCATAGGTTGGTCTTCCAACACACTGGTGTCACAAATTGAATGTCAGTGGGTTAATTCGGATCTTCTATTTATATAAGTTCTCTATAATGTCCCGGCAAAAATGAGCATATTTCCTCCAAAAACTGAGTAGCCAAGCGTGGAGATCGAAGTCCCGTGAAGAACATCCATCAAGAACTTCCATCCATCTGCATTGACCAAATCTTTTAGCTTTGTACAGCTTCTTCTCAGCATGTTCTCCTAGAAGACATCAGTGTACCATGAACCACTGGATGAAAGAGTGGTTCCTCCAACACCCAGTATTTAGGGATTTCAAAGACTCTTTTAATCTTGAAAGTTTTAGTCCATGCTTGTAACACTGATTTATAAAAGGATGTGAACTCTGTTAACTCCATCTCTTGAATTTGTATCCAAAAAAGATGAAGATCATAATTCAACCCTTCTACTCTTCGCAGGATTGCACCAAATCTTTTCTACACAAAAGTTGTTGGGCTGAAAGCAATCTGAAAGCTTGAATTCTGTTCTTAATGTCTATTAGTCCTTGTCCTCCTTCACAAGAAGACATCCTTCGTATTTTCTTTATGACCGTGAAAAGAACTAAAAATACTCCGTGAGTTTTGATCGTACAGATAAGAATAAGGCATTGTTTGAAACTGCAAAGGGTCTACTTTTATTTGTGTATAGTCATAATAACAACAAAACAATGTGCTTTTAAAAAATAAGCAAAATAAACATGGTGTGTTCTCTGCCGGCTCTGTCTCTGTCACCTCTCTTCACAGACACATAAATAAAACAACATGAATCTCCGTGAATAGTTGCCTCAAAGACATGAGAAATATATGTATAGAACGCTTGAAATGTCTACTTTTAAATGAAGATAGTCACGTCCAAAACAAATGTTCTCTGTTAAAGTAATCCATATGAAACCAACACGATGTCCAGTTTTCCCGTCTCAATTCATTATATCTAATGCGGTCACGCCCACGAGCCGATCGCGCTTTTCAGATTCTAAGCATCCACGTGAGTCGCGCGCACATGTAAATGCCCACATCGCCTCCGCGTAAACAAACGTGAAGAGTTCATCACGGCTACTTTTTGTTTCTGGAAGAAGACGCGCTGAGAGAAATAACCCAGAATTTACCACACAACGCGATGCGTCACGCAGCTGGATCCACTGGAGGATATCACTCTGACGAGTAGCCTGTTTACTTGCATCTGTTGTTATTGTGTTATTGTGACATAACTTGTGCACATTTTACTAGTTAGACTTTTCCCAAACTATAATTCCTGACTACATGTATGAAATCAAGTGAAACATTTTGAAATCGGTGTCATTTCATTGTCTAAATGTCTTACAATGCCAGGATGTTTGTTTAATGTTTTATAACATATAAAACCACAATATATAAAATTAGTGTGAGCGTTAACACTATTAATAAATGTTTAGCACAAAGGTGTGCTACTGTTCAAGTCTCAGTGTTCACATCAGTATGTTCAATCATGTGTCCTTGACCTTCACGTGTATATTTTTATTATACTGTAAAACCCACATTATTTTACTCTCCTCACACTTTTTTATTATACTGTGTTGGAAATAACATACAAATAATAATCAAAAACCCACATTATTTTACTCTTCTCACTCTTTCTTACCTGCCTCAGTCACATTCATATTGATGGCCCATTATGGGAGGCCCTTTGTCTTTCAGGTGTGAACCACTAAATATTCATGACCATGACCATTCATGACCATTGTCACTCGCTCGCATACAGGCTTTCGATCACGAAACATGTTTTACAAATATTAAATCAATATATTGTTTTCTGTGAAGGAGTGAACAGGATCATTTTCACTTAATTTTGTAGCAAAACCTCTAGTCTACCTCATACAGTTCTCAAAAGTCTTGTGAACAAATATTCTGTATGTGTTTTATGGTATAAACTCGGGGACTGGAGCCCTCTCTGGGATAAACTCGGGGACTGGAGCCCTCTCTGGGATAAACTGGGGGACTGGAGCCCTCTCTGGGATAAACTGGGGGACTGGAGCCCTCTCTGGGCTAAACTGGGGGACTGGAGCCCTCTCTGGGCTAAACTGCGGGACTGGAGCCCTCTCTGGCATAAACTGAGGGACTGGAGCCCTCTCTGGGATAAACTCGGGGACTGGAGCCCTCTCTGGGATAAACTCGGGGACTGGAGCCCTCTCTGGGATAAACTGGGGGACTGGAGCCCTCTCTGGGATAAACTGGGGGACTGGAGCCCTCTCTGGGATAAACTCGGGAACAGGAGCCCTCTATGGGCTAAACTCGGGAACAGGAGCCCTCTCTGGGCTAAACTCGGGAACAGGAGCCCTCTCTGGGCTAGACTCTGAGACTGGAGCCCTCTCTGGGCTAGACTCAGGAACAGGAGCAGACACTGGAGCGGGCTCTGGGGATGGAGCTGACACTGGAGCAGGCTCTGGGGATGGAGCCGACACTGGAGCAAGCTCTGGGGATGGAGCCGACACTGGAGTGAGCTCTGGGGATGGAGCGAACCTAGGGACTAGAACCAACCTCCTTCTCCTCCTTAGATTCCCCTTTAGGTTTGGGGTGAAAGGCGTGGTCGGCAGACTTGACACTGGAGCGGCCGGCGGACTAGACTTCGGAGCGGCCGGCGGGCTGGTTCTGGCTTGGGGCCGGATGGTCTCCAGACACCGGGGGATCCCTTCCCTCCAGCTTAGTCCTGTGGTGTCTGGGAGGTCCACGGGGCGATGGTAATTGGCCCCGTGCCAGAACAGAGAGTTGATGGTGGCGTCATCTAAAGCCGTCGCCGCTGCGAGCCAGCAGAACTCCCAGGCATACTCGATGAAGGGAAGATCCTTATGGGCTATGGCTATAAAGCGTGCCGCGATCTCCATAATCGCGGGGAAAAACAAGGAAAACTACAACGAGGAGAAGGGACGCCGCTTACTGTTGTTGGTCTTGTAATCTATCACGATGCACTACTGTGAGGAGCAAGGAACGCGGAGACGAAGGAGTAACTCAAACACTGGTCTTTAATAACAATAACCCAAGGGGTAACACAGGGCAGGCAGGAGCACACATGAAGAACCACGTAGACATTCAATACCGGACGAGGAACTAAAAACAGGAAACGCTTTAAATACACAAGACATGACGAGGGGATGACAAGAAACACATGGGATCAAATAGAACCAAACGGGGAACACCTGGAACAAATAAGGACAGGAACGGGAAGTACCAAATATGGGCATAGAAACACATGGGGAGCAAAACACACACAAAACACGGAACAGAGTCTGACACCCAGAGTGAGGTTTTTTTTTAGGCGACCGTTATTTTAGAACGTTTCCCCTTTTGTTTCCATGCCGACGCATCATGCTTGTCAAGTGACACACCGCAGCCATGAAAACACTGTATGACAGATGGATCGCTTTAATTTTGTTTTTCCTTTTTTATTCAAAATATTCACACACATGCTTACCATGTCATCAACTATCTGATATTCTGATTCACAAATTTCTCTTTTTTCCCACCACTCTCCTACATCTTGCGAGAAGAGAAGAGAATTGAGGATAGAGTTATTGTAATCCCCAAAAAAAGAGGCACGTGCCAGATGAATGGCAGCACATCACTAAAGGGAGCTGCACCCTGGACGGTGACCCATACTCGGAATTAGTGCTATGCATTTATCCCATCCAAAGTGCACACACACAGCAGTGAACCCACATACACACCGTGAACACACGCCCGGAACCATTTTTTTGCTGCGGCGCCCGGGGAGCAGTTGGGGGTTTGGTGCCTTGCTCAAGGGCACCTCAGTCGTGGTATTGAAGGTGGGAGAGAGCGCTGTACATTCACTCCCCCCACCTACAATCCCTGCCAGTACGAGACTCGAACCCACAACTTTGGGTTACGAGTCCGACTCTCTAACCATTAGGCCATTACTTCCCCGCAAGTTCTGGGATCCAAAAGAGTTAGTGAAGCTTGTTTACATAGTGTCATCTCAGATACTTGTGGCAGCCATGGAGGTCTTTATACAGCCTGGAAAAATCTCAGAGTAAACAAAAAGTCCTTCCTCCTCACACACTGAAGCTCTCATCTGAGGAACAGGACTGGCATTATTGTACTGAGAGCTGGAATCAGTCGAGGTGGTCCTCATCCGAATGACAAGGAATATTTATGAACCGGTAGTTTTTACTCACTTACTGGACTGGTCATCCAGTGAGAGACGAAAGTTGCTGACTTAAAAAAAAAAAAAAAAAAAAAAAAATG